CAGCCGGGAGGCCCTCCTTGTCCTCGAGACGCTGGGCAACACGGTCCTTGTAGTCTTCGATGGCAGAGTGGACTGAGTCAATGAAGCGAGAGAGGTGATCGGCAGTGAGGCACTCCTTGCCAACGACTTCGACAGACTCGTAGAAGCACTGATACATCTCGGCAAGAGTATCAATCGCAGGTTCCGCGGTCAACACCTCGAGTAGCTTATCCACAGTCGCAGCCCAGAGCCCGGCAAGCTCGTTTGATGGGCTACCGTACGTCTTCTTGTAGGAGCTCAGAAGCTGAGGCACCAACTTGGCCGAGATGAATCTGACGGGGTCGTGGAAGAAGAAGGCCAGACCAGGGAGGGCAATCTTCTCCATAATCTCGGCCACGTAAGGGGCGAAGCTTCCCTCGAGTACCTGAGCGTACACAACAAGCAGCTCAATGGCCATGTTCTTGTCCTCCATCGTGCTAGTCCGGATTCCAATCATCTTGCCCTTGAGAGGGACGAGTTCCCAACCATCCTCCTGCTGAATCTGCTCGACCTGGTCGTCGTCATCCAGGAGCTGAATGTCGGCCTTGGCGCTGGCGAGCTCGAGAAGAGGTGGCATGACGTTGGGCAGGAAGGGAAGGAACTCCTGGCCGAGGACTCTGCACATGCGGCCCCAGCAGTGCATCAGGTATTGCGCTTGAGGGTCATCAGGATCGGTGATGTTTTGCTGGATGGAGGCAAGGAGCTGGACAAGAGTCATAGCATCTTGGCCAAGTCTTTCCTTGCCAACAGCCAGGGCGATCAGCGTAGCGCACTCCATAGCCTTGGCGCGGAGAAGGCGGAACTCTTTGTCGTTCTCTCTCTGCAAAACACTGACCAACAGAGGCATAAGGGTATCGTAGTACTTAGAGAAAGCAGCCTCAGCAGCGTCGGCGATGGTGGCGATGGTCGACAAAGCCTGCTCCTGGACGTAGCGCTTTTCGTTCTGGAGCAACTGGAAGAGGTGAGACAGGAGCTCGTCAAGGTAGGGCTCCAGAATGGACTTCTCGGCCTCCTCGCAGAAGTTGACGAGGGCAGCAGCAGCGTGCGACTTGACACGAGCCTCGGGAGAGTCAAGGACCGGGATGATGGCCTTCAGAACACGGTCGTAGTAGTCGGTCTGCATCTTGGGCGCGAAATCGGTGCTCATCTGGCCGAGAGCATTGCAACCAGCCCAGCGCACACGGGGGTGCGGGTCCTTGAGCGCAGGAACAACCAAGTCGAGAACCTGGCTGAGCTCACCGATCATCAGCTCCCGGCAGCCTTCAGAGATGGCGGAAATGGCCATCAGAGCCGCATGTCTATCTCTCCAGGCCATGGAGGTCATCATGCGGGGAAGCCAGTTGAAGGTCGGTGCCAGAATGGTCTGGCCACCAAGCTTGTTGGCGAGTCTGTCCATGCATTGCTCTCCAGCGACGTGGTTCTGGTCGCTTTCCTCTTGATCCAGCTAGAGAAGTGTCAGCACTCCGATGATGCAAATTCTGTCCAGTCCAAATGTATCACTCACATCGTCAGATGACAGCCAATCAGCCGCATCGTCATCGTCCTCGCCAAGGTCAGTCATGAGGCTGAGGCACTGTGTGATCATATCGTTTGTGTAGGTCTCGTCCTTGCGGCACAGGGACGGTGCGTAGTCGGCAAAAGTGGCCATCAACTCAAGAGCGTTTTGGCGGCAAAGGTTATCGAGCTCCTTGTCCTGGATGACGGAAATACTGAACTTGACCAAGTTGCCGAAGAGAGGCTTAAACATCTTGGGCGCGGTCTCGGCCATGTCAATGAGAGCGACAAGGGCGCTGCTAAGGTCCTCAGAGTCGTGGCTTTCCTTGATAGGCGGCATGATGTTGAGAACATCGGTAATAAGAGGGTAGTACTTGGGCTGCGACTTCTTTCCCAAGCTCCTGAAGAAGGCCGCAAACGCCTCCATGGCGGCCAGACGCACCTTGATGAAAGTCAGCCGGCTTGATATCGATGGCGAATGGATGGGAATTCTCCTACCTGAACGGAATCGTCCTTGAAACCCTTCTGGAAGGCCCCGATAACGGTGTCCTCGTGCTGCTTCTCAATAATACCCGGAGTCGTGGCAAAGACACGGAATGCCGTCTCTCTCTTCTCGGCGTCGGGCGCTATGCTAAGCTGGAAGAGACCACCCAGCAGCTCGGGCCAGGAATCATCTGCCATGGTGTTAGGCTCGGGGCGTCCCAAGGCATGAAGAAGCAGAATGTGGGTGTCGACGTACTGTTTTCGGTGTATTGCCTCGCGACTTCAGCGACAGCGTCACTGATCTTGTTTCTCACGGCACGCTGGAAGTCACCACCGAGGCTCTCGAGAAGCTTCTGGCGGATGACAGCAGCCTGATCCTGAGACAAGGACAAAAACATATCAACCAACTCGCCGCGGTCATTCTTGCGGCTCTTGGAGGCGATTCTTCGGAAAATAACGGCGGCAAAGGAGCGTATCTGGTGAGCAAGGTGGCGCGGTTAGCTGGAGGCCAGAAGAGCGTGCGTGTTTACATGCGCAGGAACGGCGAGGGAAGGTAGAGGCGGAGGGATGAGGTGCAGGGTGGAAGAGCGTACCGAAGCATCAGATCCGACTTGAATCTGCTCAGCAAGACCCATCAACAAAACCTCGGGTCGGGTGGCTGTCCAGTTATTTTGAAGGTGGTCTTCGGCCTGCGATCGAACCGAGTTGTCTGGAGATTGGAGAGCTTGCAGCAGCTGCGAGAGCTCTGCGTGGACGTCTGGGGGGAGAACAGACATGTTTGCGACTGAGACGGGGAGAAGATGAGGGTGGTTCGTTGTCGAGTCGTCTGCTGGATTTTTGCAGATTAATTAATTACCAACCCCAAGACAGCGCAGCCGGGGCGGTGTGAGGTTGTCGAGGGCGCAAAGCTTGTCGAAAAAGAGGTAGGGTATACGCGGGGGAGAGGCGGATAAGAGTCGGCGTCGGGTTATGTTTTGTTCTGAGGGGTACTTTTTTACCCTTTTCGGTGGCCCAATGTCTCTGGACCTTAATTTTTTTCCCAGTCTTGGTGCGCCAAAGTAAGCGAACGCGTGTCGGACGAGGAAACGGAGGAGGGCGGGTATATGCAGTCGTCTTCTGGAAGAAGGGACTGATCGCAATGGGTTTTCCTGTGCTTCAAGAGGCACGGTTCGGGTGGTGGAGGGAGGTTTTTTTTTGGTCGAAAGGGAAGGGGGAAAAAAAAAACAAAGGAACATGCGGGAGTCAAAAAAGTGAGGCAGCAAGCCCGCGATGGTGAGGGACCAGGACTGGGGGTCTTCTTCGGGTCTTCCTGTCTTGGAGGGGAAACCTGCAAAAAATGACAATAATTTTGGCAGGTTTTTGGCGGGGCTGTTGCTAAAGGGTGGACTCCACCCACCTGTACGTCCCTCCCGTCCGGCGTCAGGCCGTCCGTGGTCACTTTACCTAGGTACCTTACCTTACATAGGAGGTACCTACCTTGTTGAGGTGGTGTCGCTGCGAGGTTTGTACCTATGGTGCCGCGGTGGTACGTACGGGGCGGCATTATCAGCAATTCAAGGCACGAAAACGCGCTGGACTGGGCTGTCGGTGGTCTGCCCGCCCTGGCCCCGGCTTGAGGAGAGGGAGGAGGGGTGACGGATGGGAGGGGTTCTGCGGTGTAAGTGCCAATGGTACCTTACGAAGTACCTTAGCTACACTGTCATGTCCCGTTGTGTGCACGTATAAAATAATTTGTTAGTAACTTGGGCTTTTGACTGGCTGTGGTTGCATGTGAAGATTGGTCTCCACCGACAGGGTCAACGTTTGATCAAGGTACCTGACCAACCCTCTATGCACAGGCACGCAGACGCGCAGAGAGAGCAACACTCATCGACTTCTTTCCAAGCCGTTTGTTACCAAGTAAACCGTTGGCCGGTATGCCCCAAAATGCCAAACTCTACTCAAGAGACATGGTGACGATACAATTTCAAAAGATCAATGTCTATGATTTGTCATCTGACTACTAAGGTAGCACCACGTTGATTAGATAGACTGATACCTAGTTATCCCACTCCATTGGTGTTCAATTCGCATCAACCCACCTACCAATTGCCAAACATAATCAGTAAGTATCAAAGCATCTTGGTCAAACAATACTATGGAATCTTTCCACAGTAACAGAACGCGAACAAATGATTAGAAGGAAAATCTCTGCCGAGGAAATAACACAAAGAAAGAAAAGCCCGTTGGCAAGCTTCACCATGTCAAGATATGTTGCATGAAGTCGAGAAGCTATTTACAAGCAAGGAGCTTCCTATCTTGAGGCACTCACGCTTTCGTCCAAGCTTCCGGCTGCCCTAGCTTCAAAGACGAGTAAAAAATGGATGTACATGCCGTATTGCGGACAAGGCCCTTTGTTTCTACCGTTGTGCCTGCCAACCTGCGTCCCTGAAGTAGACTTGGACACATTTCTCTAGTCACAGATGAGGCGATGCATCAAGGGACGGCCCTTTCCCTGGCTTGAAGTCAAGACGGTACGGCGAGATATCCGGCCACATACAATATCCGAAGCCCGTCTGAAAACAAACACCATGGCCCAGGCACAAATCAAAAAGTAAGCGACTGGTTACAATGGTGCTGGAGTTACACAAGGTGGCTGCAGGTGGCTGCCGACAAGAAAGAGACGAAAAGGCAAATGGATCTTGCATGGAATTCTTCATCTGTGATTAACATTAGTCGCGACCAAGTCTCGACTTTCCTATATCTGATATAGATATGTACCAGTCCGACATGATTAGAATGCATCTAGATGTTTTACTACGTAGGTATATATTTGAGCGAAGTATGCAGAAGGGGAGGTTATCTGGCTTATGGGGTATGTGAAGAGGACGTAGCCAATGAGAACCCGGTCTGCCAACATACCTGTCGAAGGAGGGGTAACGGACAGATTCCTTGCCTACACTTGTACTACGTACATAGGTAGTCACGTAGTGTAGACAACCTCAGTCCATTCCAACGTCCAGCACCCAAAAACTCCCCATCGGCGCTGGTCTTATCCCTGGGGTTACGTCTCCGGGGTACGCAACCCCGCCGTGTAGTGGCTAAGTTTTACCAACGTCCTCCGCAGCGCCTGTCATGATGCTTCACTCACCTTAGGCGAAGGTAACTACCTAAGGGAGGTACCTAGCTAAGGTACCTAAGGTAAGGTCCAGTAGCTGCAACCCCTCATCTTGCTTCTTTTCTTTTTTCTTTCCCCGCCTCAGTCAAGTCGTCGTCGGCGTTGTTGGTCGTTGCTGGAACAGAACTCTCTTCAGACCTTTTACACATAGTTCAAACCACACTACCATCTCGCTGCTCCATCATCCCAGCATCGCAACGTTCGAGGACTTCAGCGTCTTCTGCACGAGTCAAATCACGTCTCAACCAATAGAATACCATATCCAGGAGAGCCGTGGAACACCCCGTTGAAAGCGCATGTCAAGTTCGCCTCCCCTGCCACCTTGGGATCCGTCAGATCACTGGAGCCCCTCAATTGCGATCCATAGCTCTACGTAAGGCGGTGCAGCTTCCCCGGCCCAGCCTGGGCAACCGTCGCAATCAGCCGACCGTTGACTTCTTCATCTCTCGGCGCCTCGTCAATAATCCCCTCAGCCACCACAAAACAAGCGGCCTTGCAAAGTGAAAAGGCGTTGCTCCTCGAAGAAGACTTAGGCTTAGCCGACATCACGAGCTTCTAGACAGCAAGTCACTAAATTGCAGCAACAGCATAGCGAGTCGCCAACCACCATCGAAACCCCGCCCTTGATCGTTCTGCCCATCTCGCTACACCATCCCGAGTAGACCGTCCCATACTAGGTTGCACCAACATCTCCCGATCGAACCAAGTCATGGACGCAACACCGACGTCCGGGGCACACAATGACGAAGCCATCATAACCTCACCTCCTGCTGTCCCTCAGCGAACTCCCTCCCAGACGAGCCTGCACAAGACGACCCACGTCCACACCCATCGTCAGAGCTTCGCCGAGAATCTGAGAAATGCGCCTGGCTCGCCTCGCGCTCAGCGACATCCCTCCTTCACCCAAGCTGCTGTACAGGATCTTCTCAACCATCCACCTGCCGCCAACAAGCACTCGAATCCGCGCTTTGCAGGCCGCGACTGGCGCGACATCTCGGTCAACGAGCTCGTTGCCCAAGATGACTTCAGATGGGTTACTCTGGACACCAGTGTTGAAGAGGCCTCAATGGTGCGTTCTCGCTCCCAATTGTCCAAGTGCTTTGTATCTTTTACTAACGCTGTGCGTAGACTCTTGTCAAACACAGCCCGTCCAACGTCGTTCTGATCCGAGAAGATGCATCGTCTAAAACCGCTGTTTCAACATTTGACTACAATGACCTAAACACCTATCTTCTTGTAGTTGTAGGACTCGCCAGGCCAGACGAGGAGCAGGTACCCCTGTACGACGAAATCGTGAACAAGGCCCAGACAGGAGCCCGTATAGCCCTACGAGATATCCAGCCGCTTTGCCGCAAGGAGTCACTCATCACCCTGCCCTTTGATGAGACACTGGAACGGGCCATCGAAGTCTTTGGCAGCGGCATTCACCGCGTTCTGGTCACAAACCCCTCGGGCGACGTAATTGGCATCCTCACTCAGCTCAAGGTCATTGAGTTCTTCTGGAACGAAGGCATCAATTTTCCCGCCATCGATAGGTTATACCCCGTCCTGTTGCGCGATCTCGGTATCGGCACGCAGCAAATCGTTTCCGTCAAGTGAGAACATCCTCCCCCCCGCTATTTTGTGACACGAACTGATGATTTGTAGCTCCGACAGCATTCTAGGAGACGCCCTGGCGCTTATGAACGCCGAGGGTCTGACGAGTGTGGCTGTTATTGACAACGGCCACAATGTTGTTGGAAACATCTCAACCGTGGACGTCAAGCATTTGACGAATGCCGCCGACGCGCCCTTGCTCAAGCAATCCTGCATGCACTTCATCTCTGTCATCCTAGGCGAGCGCGGCGTCGAGCACGGCCGCGACTCTTTCCCGGTCTTCTACGTGAACCCGTACTCGACGCTGGCGCACACTGTAGCAAAGCTGGTGGCCACCCAGTCTCATCGCATGTGGGTTGTTGAATCCGCATCTCCGTCTCCGTCCGCACCGGCTACTCCCTTGTTGGCGCCCACAACGTCGTCAGTGCTGGTGCCGGGCATTGGTTCCGCGCCTCAGTCGCCTCTCCCGACTCAGGTTTCACACGTCGTACCTGCTGCGGCCATGCCAGGCGCCCATCTCTCCGGCCGTCTGACCGGTGTCATCTCGCTGACCGACATCTTGAACATGTTTGCAAAGTCGTCGGGACTGCGGCCGTCGGACCCGGGCGAGCAGCGAGCGCGCCGTCGCAGGAGCTCCAGCAGCTCTATGCGGCCAAGTCTCGACTCGTCGAGACCGAGCCTTGACTCACGTCGATGAGAAGACTTGGTCTTTGGCAAATATGGAGCAACAACGAAATCCTAGAAAGCTTTTACATCAGCTTTTAATGACTGGCGTTTACGGGTTCGTCACATGGGGCTTCTGCTTTGGCTAGAGCATGCTTGTGCTCACTTTTTATGCTTTTTTCTGTTTCCATTAGACGGCCGAAGCTTCAGACGAGATATTCTAGATCACTGTCGATAACAGGCGCTTCCCGCAATATATGTGATCTGAATATTGTTCCACTTCATGCCGCCCGTCCGTGATACATGGGATGAATTTTCATCACATGCATGAGTTCCGTACCTGTATTGAGTCTGTCGTTCTCTAGGTAAGTGTCCAGACGTTACCAACGATATCGTGAAGAGGGCAATCATTCACTGATACCTATACGAAGAGTCGTTCTCTCCACGTGAAGAAACAGGATCATTCGCGTTTAACCAAGCAGAGCAGACCGTCAGTCTCTACTCGTCTTCATGTCGAGAATGCATTTGGCTAGGAATACATTCTACACTTCTTCAAGCTCCCTTGACCGTGACGTGTTGAAAGACCAATTGTGTGCCCAAAGGTGCTGTTACGTACCGGCCTTCTGGTTCCCAGATGCAAGCATCATGATCGTACCTCCCACCACCACAGGACCTGATAATCTAGCATAGGGAATCACAAGACCTCATGAACAAACATGGTCCCAAGCAAATCTCCCAATTTCCAAGAATGTCAAAGCAAGAAGTCCCGGTAATGCCTTCTCTCTTTCACGGCAATTTCCCAAACAAGTTGGCCGGATGAAACCATGTAACGTGTGGCACTGAGAAGTGTGGTGAGTATATTGGTTGAGATACATCATGGCGAATACTAGGCAGAATACACAAGAGACAAAAAAAAAAAAGGACCAAAAAAACAAGCTATCCATGGCATTATGTAGGACCGTGAGCCAACATATAACCCCTAGCTAACGGAAGTCAGAATCATACCGCTCGGCCATCGACTACAACGGACGATGCTTGTTGAAAATCAGTCCCACTTTGCGTGCCCATGAAGCCATTCCCCCTTGCCACCCCAACCCTCGATACACCAGTCATTCAGACCCAGCTTTTCACGCCTCACAATCAAGGAAACTGATATTTGCTAGCAATGGTTTTTTCTCATTTTGCGTCGTATATATGTACCAAGTTGGAGTTGTGGTCCACACACTGAATATGTACACTTCACACAACAAAAACTTCTCCCCTACCTCCCCCATCTCCCTTCCACTCGTCACCTCCTCCAAAGTCGGGATTTGAAGCCGTGACTAGCTTCAGAGAGTGGGGATAACGTTCGAGTTCCACACTCTAGATGGGAACACCAGCAGCGGCGCAGGTGTTCTGAGCCCAGGTAGAGGCAGCAATACTAGGAGCCCAATAGTCAGTATTCGGAAATGCTTGATCCCCTCGTCCATTCGGGAAGAGAGAGGCAGAGAGAGGAAGAGAATGTCCACTTACGCGTCGGAAAGCTGGCAGGCACCTAGGACGCAGGTGGTCACGGCGCTGTTGTACGCGGAGGAACTAGATGGTGTCCAGCACATATTAGTCAATGGGCTCGTGAAGGGGTTCCAAACAGGGGGCAAGAACTCACGCGCAGATGCAGGCGAAGTCGGTCTGGTCAGTGCAGCCGGAGACGGGGAAGTTGTCGACGAAGCAGGGGCGCTAGATATCGAAGATTCTTCTCGTTAGCCACATGATTCGAACTTGGAAACACCAAGAGTCGTCTGTCTTTCTGTCTGTCTATCTGTCTTGAGGTAGACAAATCGAAGGGGATACTGGAAGAGATGAGGTGTCTCATACCGCGCAGTCGGGGAGGAGGGAAAGGTCCTGGGCAGCGACGAGGCTGGCGAAGAAGGCGACGGCGACGGTGGTGAACTGCATGTTGACTGGTTGGTCGTTGTGAGACGGGTGAATGTGGGCTTGGTTGTGTAAGTGATCTGAGCTGGTGATGTTGTGCAATTGGAAGGGTTGATCACGACATCTGGGGATGAAGATGGGTTTATATAGATCGTTCTCCGTCCCTCCTCCTGTCTGATGTCTTTTACTCTTTTCAATATTCCATCGATCCTTGCGGCCCTTGCCAACGTCAGGAGCCCATCATGGTCCTTTACCCCGCAAACTACTACCCGCATTCTTCCTTTCCCATATTTTTTCGATGTCTCTCCTCTTGCTTACCGTTAGAAGTGCATCTCCAAATTTCACATGATGCCGAAGACCAACAACGAGGATGGACGAAGCCCCAAGCGGGGTTGGCCGTTGAAGGCAAGCGAGGAGGCTTTCGCCAAGATGGTTCATCGCGGCATTGGAAAGCAACCCCAGACGGATGTCACGTCCCCCAAAGGGAACTGGCCAACATCGGCGACTTTGCCGGATGGAGAACTCGCGGGGGAGACAGACGATTTGGAGGTTTGAAAACTTGATTCAGGTGATGTGGCTGTACGTATGTCTGTTTACCTCAGCAAGGGGGTTGAAGGGTGATGGAGGGCATCATGCTGACTTGAACCACATCAGACCAAGGATGAACCCCCCTCGACGTTGGGCTTAGAGACGTCCAACTAGACATTTCTTCATAGAAACAAAGCATGAGACGAACCTCTAGGTGGTAGCAGACAACCTCCGCTAGCATTTCCTTGGGCCATTGACCGGCTCCGACATGCGCTTCCGCCTAGAACGGTTACTCGCAACGGCGGACAGCTCCTCAGCCCATACCATATCACGCCAAGACCCGGTCGATTAACACGAGCACATATAATGCCAAAACCTCCCCAAGTTCCTCCCTCCGTTCTGGCCCGCAAAATTTCGGCCGATCACAAGGCCAACTCGGACATGGAGGCATCTCGACCGATGTGACATTGGCTTAAAGTTGCGGGGAAGCTTGTAAGCAGGCAGGCCTATCCGTCACTTCCCAGCCGCATGGCCAGCAAGCGATGAGCGTACGAGAGCGGTTCATCTCACGTAACTGTCTGTTCCGTCTTAAGACAACTGCAGAACACCCACGTCACTGTCTTGAGATCCCCCCTCCAAGATTTGGCCAGGCACGGTACGGCGCAGCGGTTGCTGGGTGATCGGCTCTGCTGGGAACCTGGATAGGGAGGTGGCCTCTCCCCAAACCCCGCTTATGGACTGTTGCAAATCCGGGGATTGCGGGGGGCGGGCGGGGAGGGAAAAGGGGTGGTATTCAGTCCAAGTTATTCCGGGGGTGTTGCGAGGTTGCACTCGGAGGTCAGTCAGGGTGTGGCCAAGGACGAGTTCCTGCATCGGGGGAAGCATCGGGGGAGGGGAGGAGTTTGGGGCGCCGCCGCCGCCTGCGCCTCTGTGGTGAGTTGATGATTCAAGTGAAAGTGGCTTGCCGAGGCGAGGCGTTCTAAGAGGAGGCGGATTGAAATAGCTTCTGATAATGTGACTTTGAACCATGGGACTGACTGGCTGCTCGCTATACAATTTTCGAATAAGCTGAGATGAGTTGTCTTTAGACAACAAACAAGGGGCGAAGAAGGCTGTTTAGAGCTCGGAGGAATGTCGAATTCATCACTAGTCGGACAGGGCTTCCCCGCGCCGGCACTTCAATGCCGCCTTTGGCATCTGAGATTGCAATTGCAGGGTCTGCGGTTTACATGACGGCTTGAAGTATTTACGAGTGAATGGATGACATCTTGTTTTTATGAGGTAAAGCTGATGGGCCTTCTCCGAAAGTCCGAACAGAATGGAAGTGTTAACAGAGCGGAAATAATACTTTGACGCAAAACGATTTGTCGTACTCCGTACATGCATACAACTTTGTTCCAGAGTGGCAGACACAATAAGGCCGAAAACATGAAGTCACGAATAATGAATAGGTCAAAACCAGACTGAGATGCTAGATGTAAGGATGTAAGTCGTACTGAGGGAACCAAAAGCAAAAGATTCCGAAACCGAGAATCGAACTCGGGGCTATGCCTAACCTCTCACTGAGATGAGAGGGCATCATGTTGGCCACTACACCATATCGGATGTGGATACTTAGAAGAGCCAAATTACAGACTAGGTAGAGAGGCGGTCGAGTGGTGTGCGGAAAGTGCAGAAACGAATTCGCAAATTGGATGGTTCTGACTTGAGCTGGCTTATGTTTTGTGGTTCGCCATACATCATTCAAACTCATAAGAGACAAAAAAAAATAAGACACTGCATAAACTAAACCAAAAGTCTAGCCTGAATTGACTTTCAGAAAGGTTCGTATGCGCTTGGGTGGGTGTCATCTCAGCCGCACACTGTGCCCTAACACTGTCTTTTCAAAACTTTCAGACCTCCAATATCTCACAGTTCATCTCATCTCAAAACTCACTTACAGCAACCCCATCCCAACTGAAATCTCACAACAAAAAAAGCATTACACACGCGCACATACACACATTTCCTTCTCTTTCTGCAAGCAAAAGAAAAACCGGAACAAGCCTACCATCACGTATCCCTATACCCATAGCTCGTCATGGCAACCGCAACATCCCAAGACTTCACAACCTACTACCTCCAACGCACAACCCAAGAATTCGCAGAAGATCTCGACAAAGTTCGCGCCGCCGACGACTTCAAGGCCGAGTCCCTCCCCTTTCTGATCCACGCCCTGCAGCAGGGTACCGCGCTCTACTCCGCCCGGGACCAGGAGCGCGTCGTCAAGCCTGTCGCCGCCGCTGCCGTTGCTACTGTTGCCGCAGATGAGGACGTAGAGATGGTGGAGGCAGCCGAAGAGGAAACCGCCCCTAAAAAGGAAAAGAAGGAGAAAAAGTCCAAGAAGGAAAAGTCCAAGAAGATGAAGTCGACTTCTGGTTGAAGAGGGGGTCACTGCGGTTAGTTCCTTGGTATGAAGGAATTGGAGGACGCCAAACGTCTCTTGCATCGCAACATTGGCGCGAATTTTCGAAAAACAAAATGGTCATTCATCAGTCCGCCGGGGGCAGCTCCGTTTCTCATTCCTCAATCAGGCTCACGGCATCCTACAAGCCTCGCGACTAAACCGCCATCGAGGAATGCGCCACCTGCTGCAGGGCATCGAAGCCCCGACCTCACATTCGCAGTGGAACGAGCGACGAGGCAGCAGCGCAATCAAGAACTTTTTGGTGCAAACGAAGATATGCAATTCAAATAGCCGTTTCTGAAGTTGTAATGGCAGCTTGATAGATACTCATCTTCTGGGGGATCGAGGAGATTCGGGGCGCAAAGAGATATTTGGACGGATCGGGGAAACTCGAAGGGATGTCATGAGAAAACTCAAGGTGAAAGAACATAGATACCCTCAGAGGATTTGAGTAAGAAGAAGCCTAGCACAGGCACAAAGTATAGATACCGGCAATCAGCGACGAAGCCGTAACGAGATCAATGCAAAAGCGTCTCACGTTCAACATATTCCAGTACTACTGTGTCTCAAATCACCGGGTTTCGCAAATCTTTACAATCATTACGATGACGACTCAATTCTCTAGACTGTCATAAGGGTATCTCTAGGATTAAAGACTAAAAGAAGAAGAAGAAAACGCCCTCAGCCATGCTTCACACGTGCCGTCGCTGTCTAATGCCGTTGTCGACCGCATACCCATTACTGCGTCATTACCGTCGTAGTTCCGTACCAGCACTTCTTACCACCTAATGCGGTTCACAAGCAACCCAAGTCTAATCCTTCGTCGATAAATCAGAGCAGCCGATACGACCGGCGGCCGGCCTCCTTGCGCACAGCCCAGCCTTTGATGGCCAACACAATGATGACCCAGGCCATCAAGACGCCTACAAGTCCCATGGTCACGGTGTACATGAACATGGCATCCAGGTTGTAGTGTTCCATGCCTTCGACTGTGTCGCTAGCCTGGGGAATTGTAAGCAATTACTCGTTAGGAGCAAAGCAGGTGAAAGGGGACTTACACTCGCCATGAAGATGATCCCACCAGAAATCAGGCCAAATGCGGCAAGGAGCTCCGTGGGAGGTCGAGACGGGAGAATGGACTTTGGAGGCTTCAGGTACATGATGACATAGGAGAACCCACGAGCAAAAGAGGCGCCGGTGAGGAGGTTACCCCATTGCTTGTGAATCATGCTGGAAACCATAGAGTGCTGTGTGTGCGAGCTCATCATGATGCCCAGGAGAAGGATGACGAGTGCCGGGATGGGGTTTATGGAGAACTCGTATTGCTTCGGCGCCTGGAGATCCTTCTTCTGCTCTTCCTCGTCGTGGTAGTACTCAGAAGCAGCGTTGATGACCGATGTGTTCAAGAGCTCTCGAACCCGACTGGACTCGATGAGCATGCCGACCTAGTGTCATGTTTTAGTCAACTCCACGACTGACGATGCTGGCGACGAGAGGCTCACCAGTCCACCACCAATGAAGAGAACAGTAATTGAAATGTGCTCCAAATCCTGCGCGCTGTATTCTCCTCCCCAGTTCCCAAGATGCTCGAGGAAAATGTTGGTCGATCCGTAGACGAAAATGAGGGCGCTCTCGACAAACTCGGCCGAAGGCCGCCACTTGCCGTCGGCACGCTTCGGTCGAACATTCCACGCCTGCCGGAGCCAAGTCAGCAAACTGATTCCGAACACGGCCGGCAAGGCACCGTTTACTTACCCATCCGAGTTCACCAAAGCTGCCCGTCCATCGACCAAGGGTCAATAAGCCAAGCCAAAAGAAAATACCGCCCTTGACCCAATGCGCCAAACCGCTGAAGATGCCGTTGCCCTCCTGTGCATGATTAGCGTCATAACTCCAGTAAACTCATTCATGTATTGCTTACAAAGAACCGCCCATAGGTCACAATACCTAGGCACAACGTGACAAACCCCAGCGGCAAGATAAGTCTATCGATTGAGCTGTAGAAAAACACCAAGCCCTTCAACAAGCGCGAAGGAATCTTCCCCGCTACTCTTGCAATCGCCAACCTGGGGTTGGCACTGGTGTTCTCGTCCCTGTTACTCGGCATGGGCATGGGAAGGCCATCTTCAATATCGTCCTCTTCTTCGGCGTACTCCTTTAGGTAGGCGTCGGAGTTGCGCGGGGATACCTCATTGGACGATGAGGAGCGGGAATGACTCCGGAGCGATTCGGTACAAGGCTCGGTGCCCTGCCCGCTGTCGTTGGACAGGCGATACTCGCTAGCATATCGAGAGCTGTTGACGCGGTGGTGCTCTGCCATAGCAGCCGTAGTTACTGGGATGAATGACTGGTATTGGTTATTGTCGGATGTTCCGCACCTGTCGTGCCTCAGAGCGCCAGCAACTCTTCCTACAAGGCCGATCAGGACCTGCGCCAAGAGGACCCAGGTCACCAGCCAGCCCAGTTTGTGGTGCGCATTGTTGGGGTAGAGATCAGGCGTGCTGGCATTGTAGATTGTTCCCAGAAGAACCCCAAGCGCGTTGACGGCCATGAAAACAAATTGTAGCGCAAGTGTATATCTAGAGCGGGCAATGGAAAGCATCACAGCTGCGAATCGCGTGTAAGTCGGCGTAGGATTACTGGCCTGAGCTCGTCAAACTTACCAATTGGCAGTACAAATACCCAGGCGAGCACCATAAGTCCAATGTGTGCGTACATTATTCCGGCATGGTCGGCGAGCGCAAAGTATGTTGGCGGATAGCTTTTGGATTCGGCTTTCGGCTCGTCTGCGCCGTGGGCCATGCCCATGTCCATCTCCATGGCGTCGGCGCCAGCTTCGTGAGCGCTGTGAGCAACAACCAAGGGCGCAATGCCCAGTACCAACGCCGTGGTGATTTGGCTAACTGATAACCTCATCAAGGGCCTTAATGCGACGGGGCTGTCCGTTGTCGCAAGAGGAAGACAGATTAATGTCAGGCTCGTCTATGTCGCAAAGAGGATCTCGAAGTTTCCCCGGATCTTTGCAGACAAAGTACCGTAGGATTGGTGAGAGGACTTCCTGACGCTTCTTTGCAGCTTCGTACGCAAGTGCAGAGGGCAGAAGGGTAGGCATCAAGATAATTGAGAAGACACAGTGAGCCAGAGCGAGGTCGGGTCGCCTTTATTAAACAACAAGCAGAGTGGGGTCTAGCGAAGAGAGAAGCAGAGACGTCGCACCGGCGCCAGCACCGTAGCGGAGACCGAGAGAAGTCCTTTTGCGACAAGATTCTTGTCTAGAGGTGTAAGTGAGGTACAGAGCCACGGTGAAGGATAGGCCAACGATAGCTTCTTGGAGCTGGCGTCGGTACACGGCGATGACATGGCCGGGCTTTGGGTACCTTGAGACCGGGCAGCCAGAAGTCAGGTCATACCCATGCGCATTCCCCATCTCCATCGTTCCTTACGGGATGGTGCGAGAAAGTACCGTTGGTGTATCGCACATGCTGTCCAGGGAGGTTTCCTGGAAGTCATCCTACCCACCCCATGTAAGGTAAGGCGGCGGCCGCGAGAAAGAAGTCACCGACCGTGGTAGACGCGAGGGGAGTGGCAGCAAGTATGCTCGGCAGCGTGTGTGTAAGTGGTGACAAGGTCAAAAAAAAAATGTACAATGACCGACTCCGAAGGTTCCGAAGGCATCCACGAGCGAGGGTTCGGCCAAGTCCAGCATCATCCAGTGACCGGAGAGAGGATTTAGGCCAAGAGCTGTGCGGGATGGGAACGGTAGTGACTTGTCACCCATTGCTGGCAAAGGTACTCGAAGAATGTACCCGCCCACAGACCCGAAGTTACGGGAGCTGGCCGGTGTGAGCACGTTGAACAATGAATGGAGGTGAGAGGAAGGGAGTACTCCGTACATAGTAGGTAGTGTAAGCAGCTTGAGAGAGTGACATGTGGACGACATGGAAGACGCGAGAGCTTCATTCCCTGAGATTCTACCTTACCTTACCTTCTTTCCTCCGCGCCGTTAGTGATGCTGGCGGGGCAAGCACTTCACATCCTGGGAATCTAGTGGGGGTGCGGGGAGCTTTCCTGCACCAGCTTACCAGACTAGCTGCCTTACTCCAGCGGATTTCGCGGCAGTGACGCCATGAGACCCTGCCAGAATTTTTCATAACCACCTCATTGGAGAGAAGAAGGTTGCGATGAGTGCAGTAGCGTGCAGACTTGGACGGGCAGACAAGGTAAGTAAGGACCGTAAGGTGAGGTGAGTACATACCTTGCCTGCTTTGAGAAAGAGAGGGTATTCCCGGGAGCAGTTGGACTCCGTACTCTCACTCATCCGTTGGCTCACTCACACCACTTACACACTTAGTCATTCAAGCTCATCCATCAAACGTCCTCAATCATGACATCAAAGCGAAAACCTCGTTCTCGGTAGGTAAGTGGTTGAACCTCATGAAGATACATAATGCGCCACTCATTTAAGATGTCAGCCGCATGAGGAAGAGAAGAGAGGGCAACTTCCAGCACCGAGATGTACTCCCTTGAACATGGAATCCGTGACCATGCAGCTATATGTGACTCTCCCGGGATCAACGGGGACTAGGGACACCAGGCAGGTGAGTGGGTAAGGTAGCGACTACGGAGCAACAGACCAACACCAAACAAAACAACCTTATCGCCAAGATCGCGGCAGCCGAGTGCCGTTTTCTATCGTTGGTGTACGAAGTAAACCACCGATGACTTGCCTTTTCCCTCCTTACCTCAGGCCTCAAACGCCCTGCGAGATGGAATCTGACCACCAAGCCGTCAATAACACACGCGTCGATTCGTGGTGCTCGCCGCAGCCGCTCGAGCGTCGTCGTCAGATGTGCGAGGCTGTCTTTGCTGTCCACCCATGGTACTAAAGAAGGGCTTATTGGATTTGTAAGTCTACTTTGCTACGGACCAACATGCTAGTAAAAGGTGTCCCACCATGTCAGATTCTTACATGAACGTGGCGCCCTTCAGAGACCCAAAGACCTGTGAACACTTCCGTCGAGGCATGGGAGTTGAGTCACACGGGGGAGATGGGCGAGCTACCTTCCGTCGCATCACCTACCTATCCCTGTCCTGCCTTGCCTGCGTCGATCTGTAGTGTAACTTCCGTGGAGGTTGTGGTGTGGTGGGTGTCGTTCCCACTCCACCGATGGGTGCGGTAAGCAGAGACTGAGAAGGGCCCGGCCACGAGCTAAAATCTCATAGGGCAGAGAAATTATTTTGTTAATAAGCAGGACGAAGAGATGCAGGGCTCCAGTGCCGGCCGATGCGGGAAGCGCGAAGTACCGACATGAAATGTCTAGGTAATCTAGACCGTAAGAACAAAAGAACGAATCCAAAGTGTTGACCGCGCTTCCGAAGCTCCGTCCGTTGGGAGTAAGCCCTGCTTCAAACTCTTCTGACGCCCAGCTCTGCTATCACTGCAACATCATCTAGAAGCCTGAAGGCTGTGTATTTTTTTTCTCTCCCCGACTTGGAAGTTGAACGACGCCCGGCGGGCGGCCGAGCCTTTGCCAACGCGGCGCCAAGATGAGTAAAATTTACGGACACGGAGGATACAAAAAAGCTCCGTACGAACAGGCCATGTACGGAGTACGTTACGGCGTGTCTCACGTTCCGTAACCCCCGTAGACCGCCCGGCCATGGGGTTGTGAAACTTCTGGACTTCTGATTTCCTATATTGATGATGATGAGCTTGTTTCCCTGTAACTTCTATTCTGCTGCCTGCCTGCAATCTGCAATGAGACTTTGGTCTGCTTCTCTCAATGGTCTGACCTCACGGGAGCCAATGACTTCTCCTGCTTCTCTCTGCGCCATGCCCTTGGCCTGAGTATGTTGAACCTGAGCAGTTGACCGAAACCTGCAATGAGCCATATTCCACGTCAACAGACGCCGGCACAGATGATTCACGCTGATTCATCACGTACAGAATCCTGAGGGGGAACGGCACGCCATGTAGTGACCGTATTACAAATGGGATGGCACCTAGAAGCCAACAAGTAGAGGATAAGTCAGCAAAAGGAAAAATCAAAGCAGGCTCATGAACAACTACTGTAGTTCGCGCAACTCCACCAAGAAGAGAGCAAAAATCCACATGGATGGATGCAAGCAGGAAATCCACCACCCATCCAACCACCACCTGGTCAAATCCACATATGAAATCCGTACGTGCTCATCCTTGCCTTCGATCCGCCCGTCAAACCCACGATCCCGCTCTCCTTCTTGGCTCCACATGACAGACTGGCGGGTACGTTGTACCTTTGATGTACCTACCTCAGGTACCTCAGGTACCTCTCAAGGCCGACCGGACCTGATGGTTGAAGCACTGCGAAACATCATAAGCGAAGGCCCCTCTTTTCCCGCGGCCTGCGGTCGGTGGCTCCGGAGTCAAGTCGGAGTCCGACCCGCATCGATCACGGGGCATCATAAAATTCGCAAGAAGTTTTTGAGGCTACTCTGCTGGATATGGATGATGACGCTATTTCTCCATAACATTGAAGAAATATCAGCTTCTTTGCAATTGCAAAACAATCTTGAACTTATCACACCTGCAGCCGAAGGGCGGATATCTCAAGCACCCTTCCGACTACAACACCAGTACAACAACTTAAGGTGAGCTGGACATAGGTACAAAGACATGACGCCGCACCAGTTTTCTCTGACTTTCCAACATTCGATAAGGTGAGATTGTGACATATCACCCGCAATGCTCTAGTCTATTCCATGTCAACTGCTGCACCACACCGCCCTCAACCTCTGCTGCGTTAAGCTTGCGTCACAAGATATCGGAACAGCGCATCCGTTTCGATGCTACCAAGAAGAAGAAAATCCTTGGTAAGATGCAGACCGCGACCGCCGTTTCTAGCCTTCCAGGTGGCGCCCCACTTTCGTCGTACGTCCCGCGCCGTCACGAGATTCGACTTGTCCGAACCTTCCGGTGCTTTTGTTGCCCTGCGTAACCCTGCCGCAGAGCCATCGCGATGCACATGGCCCATCTTAGCTACAGGATTCATCCAATCACCGGCTGATCATAAAAATTCGATGCTTTTGTATTGTACTAGATTCTCAACGCACTCATACCCTCACTGCGGGATCATCTGGTTTCTATGATATGCGTACCTAGTCCTCAAAGCCGTGAGGTCCATCCCCACTTTCCTCCTACTTAAGCGTGACATATCACGGCGTCAAATCTACCGTCTTCGGATCCGAGGCTCCGGCCAAGGTCCGCCATGACCTCTGCCCCGGTTTACCATCTGGGCGAATCATAACGCAGATCGATCTTTCAACTTCCATCTCTCATCACTCTGGACCACCTTGTTTTCCTTTTCGAGCTTTCCCAAGATCTGTATGACTCCACCGCTCGCCGGGATATGCAGCTCCTCAGGAACGTCAGCGTAAATGACCTTGACAAGTTCCATGACCGTCCAGGCATAGGGATCGCCCTCGATATTAGAGCCTTGCCTCGCCGTCCTCAGGGTACGGATAACTTGCTCCTCTCGAGCCTTCCTGTGGTTGATGTAGTCTTGAATCTTGGACGGGCCGTTGTCAATCACGGGCCCGTGACCCGGATACGCCCTTCCCTTGAACAGGCTCTGCATTCTCTCGAGGCTGTTGAGGTAAACGGTCAAGTCTTCGAATACTGCGGTACCCTGGCCCAAGACATTATCCGCCGTGAACATAGCGTCTTCCTCTTCCAAGACGAAGGCCATGTGGTCGACGGTATGCCCCGGGGTGAAGACAGCGGTAAGGCTGACCCCGTCGACGGAAAACTTTTGGCCGTCCGAAATGTCTGACTGGCCCTGCTCGGGTTGGTTCTTGAAGACCTCGGAGCTCGGGGACAGCTCTAGCAGCTGCTGGATGCCGCCCGTGTGATCATGATGCCAGTGAGTGATCAGCACCTTCTCCACCGTCGCCTTTTCCTGCTCGAGGATTGACTTGACCGCGGCGATCCACGATGGCTTGCCCTCGCCTGTGTCAATGAGTATACGGCGGCTGCCTGTGCCGACGAGATACGTGTTGGTGCCCTGCAGCGTAAACTTTCCAGGGTTCCCTCCCAGGATGCGAATGCAGGCTGGGCTGAGGCGCTCGACCTCGGGCAGTGATACTAGTTGTGAAGCCATTGTGTTGTTGTTCTTGGTACGATTCAGACGGGCGATATGTCTAGTTCCGAATGTAGTTGAGTAAATTGGCCGTCTTAGTCACAAACCAGCGTTGCGATTACATGGAGAAAGCACGCCGGACACAAGACCCCGCATGTTCCTTAAGGTATGCGACAGAGAAATAGCCGCGACGTGACGCTGGGCATTCACTTTGGCGAATAGAACAAGTTGGTGCTACATGTACGTGAAGGCGCAATGGAGGGGCAATGAAGATGCCGAGGTTCTAGAACAAAATGCGCCGAAAGGCACTTTGAGGTTCGAAAGGGCTCTTGTAAGCGGCTTACCTCAGCAATGTCTTTACTGCGATGTAGAATTTCATCAGTGACAGTGACCTCACTGTTGCCGCGTTGCGACGGGAGGGTCCTTTTCCAGACCCACTGAAAAGTGCCCCGAGGTCCTGTGGGAATTCAGGGGCATAGGGGGACTTTCGGCAGGCGGATAAGCAAAAGTTGTTATCGATAAGAAACCGCCCGATCAGGTGCCGATAAGACTGGATTTACTGCCTGTTGGCTGCTGGCGCCACGGAATCTACCCGTCTGTGCACCCAGCGCCAGCTCCAACATTTGCAACTTCCAGGGATTGTTTGTAAGGCCTTTTGGGAACTGTGCTTTCCCGACGATCCTGAATCACTTTGCTCTTTGCGCATGGAATCTGTCGCAGTCTGGAGCCTCTAATTCATTTCTTCCTTCTGCACCACCAACTTTGGCCTCTTCCACGGCTGCGACTGGGGTTGGAAGCGACAGCCCGCTCGGACCTTCTCGATCTTCGGCTTGCGCCATCCACCAAAGCTCACCCACCCTCCCACTCTCTGGGGAGCTTCAACACGGCGCGAAATCGCTCCTTCCGACAATCCAAACACCCTCCACTTTGCTCAGCATCACTGGCTCTGCTATTCTAGCCGGTAAACTCCACTCTCACTTCATGTTTCCTTCTCTTGTCTTACCAATTGACCTATTTTATTGCGACGAACTCACGGCTGACTGTGGATTTCTACTAGCATTGTTGCGCTGGCCCGACTCCGGCCGTTACCAATCCACGACGCCTTCCTTGCCCATCGTCGGAATCACGAACTTATCTTTTCGATTTTGGATCACTTTTTGCCTCGGCCTTTTTTTGCGCAATAAGAAAATCCCAAGTATTTTGCTTTCCAGGTGCTTCAAGGCAAGAGCAAGTAGACGAAGGAGCAGGACGACCGACTGATCAATCAAACAACACCATCCATAATACCCAAGATGTCTGCTCGACCAACGACGCCCATGTCCCCAAAGACCGCCAAGGTCAAATCGCCCCTCCCTGGCACACCGGTCTTTGGCTGCGGTCAGTAGATTACAATTGTTACTTGCTGCAATGGCAGGAATGGCCCAGAGTCAGGCTAACAGGATACAAACAGAACACATCCAGCGGCTGTTCACCCAGTCCACAGAGGGTATTACCCAATGTGTCCACCACTACAAGATGATCCTCAAAAACATCTTTGAGCAGACGCCTGTTGTGCCGCAAACATTTAAGAACTCTGACGGCCAGGTCATGACGTCTCTCACATCCAACTACCTCTGTCTACAATGCTCCGCCATTGTCAATGAGGACGATCGTCTCAAGCACGGCACAAAGAAGCAGCATCGCTTCTGTACGTGGCCCGTCACCGAAAACAAACGTGAATTTCCTAACAAACTTTAGATGTCGACTCAAGGAGTGGTGCCCTCTACTGCCAGATATGTGATGACCTAGTCTGGGACCCCACTCTCGAGGAGCTTCGAGTTCGTAAGATGGGAACAGGAACTTTTTCCAGTAAGTTATCTTTACTCATGAGAGGCATCATCATCGCACCTCAGACTATAGCTTGCGTGGTTGCGCCGCCCTTCTTTGGCCCCTAGCTGCCTGACCAACATTCTAATTAATCTTCCAGACCGGAAGAGAAAGCACGATGAGATGTTCTCAGATGGCGTAAAGGACAGTTCTGCAAGCAACCCAGGCTATATCTCCAACAACACCACCACTGCCTCTTGCAAGGCCAATGGTCTGCGCGGAATCTACAATGCTGGAGCAACATGCTACCAAAATGTGGTGCTGCAGAGCTTCCTCCACAACCCCCTCCTACGCAACTTTTATCTCAGCGATGGCCATCAGAGCACTGATTGCCAGCTGACCAACTGCCTCAGCTGTGCGATGGACGACATGTTCCAGGACTTCTATGCCGTTGAGAATACTAATGGATTCACGGCGGCTAGTATTCTGTCTGGATTCTGGATCTCAGAGAAGAAGGCGTTTGAAAACCTCGTCACCACCAAGGAGCAGGATGCCCATGAGTTCTTCCAATTCCTCGCCGAGGAGCTGCATGAACGAAATGGAGATGGCAAGCGTCCTGAGACTGGAAGCGAGCACACATGTAACTGCATCATCCATCAAACATTTTACGGCAAGCTCCAGACTGGCACGACTTGCCAGAACTGTGGAGGCGTCACCAACGCGGTTCAATCATTCCTGGACCTCAGTCTCGGACTGGAGAACCTCTCTCACAAGAGAAAGAAGGGAGGTCAGAAGGTGCCCAGTCTGACTCTGCAGGAGTGCTTGGATGAGGAGTACGTCAAGTCAGACAAGTGCGAGTATCGGTGCCACAACTGCAGCTCGATGCAGCAGGCCAAGAGAGCCACCAGCATTAAGCGGCTGCCGAATGTGCTCGCGATACAGCTCAAGGTATGTCTAGTTGCATACTTATGGTGTACTCTTGCCAGCTAACAACCATTACTAGCGATTTGAGTACAAGCAGGGCCGCCATGACCGCGCATCAAAGATCGAGACGGTGGTTAACTTCCCCCTTCAGCTCAACATGCTGCCATATACAACCAGAGGTAGAGGCGCGGACTCCAAGGATGCCTTTGACCTCGGAAGATCTTGCACGTACGACCTCCTTAGCGTGGTGGTCCACGTGGGCGAGATCGACACGGGTCAGTTGATACATGGCGAACCAATTTCAATACTGTTACTGACTGGGTACCTAGGCCATTATGTATCCTACTGCCGAGTAGGCGACCAGTGGTTCAAGTTCAACGACCACAAGGTTGAAATGGCGTCAAAGTCAGACGTCATGAGCGCTCAACCCTATCTGCTCTTCTACATTATCCGTTCACTCTCGTAACCTCATACCTCGAGAGGGGACGAAACGTATCACGCCGAGCAGTGTAAAACAGTAATGCCACCAGGTTAAACGAGGTAAAAGCGGTGGCCCGCCGAAAGTATGGGGGAAAGGGGCGCTTTGGAACGGCAAAGGCGGGGGGCGACGGAGGATCAAGCATCTTGTCGGCGTTGGAAATAAACGTGGGTAATGCATCATCTTGGGCCCTTTGGCAAAGGCGAACAACAAAATCCGCATTTTGGATGGCAATCCTGAGGAGCCATCATTGTATAGAACAGCGATCAAGCGTATGTACTTTCTATTGAAATCTCGCAAACAAGAAACATGTGCCAAATCGGGCCCCGTCAGGGCCAGACGACCGGTCTATTCTCATGAGCTCGCCAACCAATGTGGGAAGGGCCGCGTTGCCTGGATCTACTTTCTAAGGATCTGTTCCCCCTTTTTTTCAACTCGAAGCCGCCTCCCGCCACGTCCAGTCCTTGCACTCAAAGTTCGCATAACACCAAAACTCGTTGCTGAGCCCTCGCTCGTGGCTAGGCTCATACGTGACGGTCCTGACACCGAGGGGCTTGTATATTCTGTTCACCAGCTCGGCCATGCGCTCGCCGGTGCTGACGATGACGCGGCCCTTTTCGGCGACATCCGGCTTCATCATCCACCGGACCGACATGGCGGCTGGAAATCAAAGGACTGCTATCAGCATGGGGGCGTTCTTTCTTCTACTCGAACCCCGGGAGGAGGGGGTTCTGTCTGCGCGACTGGACTGGGGGGTTGAGCTTACTCTTGGTCTGGCAGTCCTCACTGAGGAAGGGAGGGTCGATGACGAAGCGGTCTACGACACCCTTGAGCTCGCTCGGGAGCTTGAAGGGCTGCGCAAAGTCGTAAAAGATGAACTCGGGGAAGACGTTGAAGCGGTTGTCGTGCTCCAGCAAAAAGACCTTTGGCCGGGCCTCGCTCTCGTCTCGCGCAGTCTGCAGAGCAGTCAATATACATCGTCCAAATACATGGCGAATCGCCCTTTATGGCGGTGCTCTTACCAGGATATTATGCAGAGCGACAAACACACTGGGCGCAGACACAATCGCAATCGTGGTATCCGCATCAGCGCCCTCGAGGAGTTGCCTCGCCAAGCAATCCGCCGTCTCGTTAGAATACTAAGGGGAACAAAAACAAAATCTCAAGTCAGAAATTTTGTGCTTCCTCTATTCCAGAAACCCTTGAAGAAGGCGCATCGCTTTTCTGCGTGCTGATAAAGGTTCCTCCTTACCCAAAATTGCGACTTATTCCAGTCCTCCATGAACGCCGCCATGGATATCGGCGCCTTCTTGGCCGCATTCGCCTCCGCTTGTTCCTGGAGCCTCTCAAACTCTTTCAGGCGGGCATCCTCCTCGGCCTTGAATTCGGCCAGCGCCGCCAACGCGTGCGAAGAGAGAGTACTGCCGGCGCAAGGAAGATGTGTTAGTCAATACTGTGCCACTTGTCCGGTGGAGACGGTGATGGTTCGAATTTTTCGGTTCACTGGAGCTGGCTTACAGAGGCTCATCCTCGCTGTCTGAGATGCTCATCTTGACTGTGTTTTGACGAAAAATTTTAGTGAGTTTGTTGAGCAAAGGGAAAATAGAAAGTCTGCAGGCCAGCCAGCCGCGAACAAACAAAATTTAAGATAACGACTGCAGTGACCAAGAGGGTTAAAATGTAAGAGGAAAGCTGAGTCGCAACGTGAGGTGAAAGGGCTGCTAAGTCTGTGTCAAGGACCCAGTTTGAACCGTCATAAACTACACTGTTTCAACGAATCAGCTTTGACATTGCAGACATACCAACTAATGCCAACACCACGGAGCAAAAACCACACTATAGAACGTTCGCACATTTGAGAGATGGTGTTCAAACTGTACATGGATTCCTCGACTTTTGCAACTCTGTCTAGCTGACTACTTATATACACTCTAAACGACTTGCTTGCCCAGAATCAAATCCATCCAACAAATGAAACCCAGGCTTACTCGTCAAGAACGTGCAGGTACTTGCGCTCCTCCTTCTTCTCCTTCTCTGTTGCAGGGGGCAGGTCGTAGAAGTTGGCACTGCGGAAACCTTGCTATGAGGAAGTCAATACATGTCACTCTGATAGAGAAAATCACGGGCGTCCTTACCAGGTAATGGTATGTGAACTTGCTAATGTCACCGGGCTCGATGCCGAGGTCCTTGAATGTCTTGGCGGTCTCGTCAATCTCCTGGTCAATGAATTCACGCTCGACTTCGTCGGCAGACATGGTGTGCCACCAGAGGTACTTGTTCAGGAGACCGGCAATGGGCTTAAGGACAGCCTTGGGGAGGTTGATGTGGCGGCGCTTCTTGAAAATTTCACGGTCGGCAAACTCGGCAATTTCGGCCATCGAGTACTCCTTGGGGCCGTACAGCTCGTAGGTCTGACCTGCTGTGCTATCGTCGTAGAGCATGACCTCCAGAGCCTGGCCAACGTCGATGGACTGCAGATGTTAGGTCTCATGCAAGGTAGGCATCGTTACGGAGAGCTTACGTGGACGGGTCTGAATCTCTCTTGCATGTTGTTGGCAGTGAAGAGGTTCATGACGTTGGCGAGCTTCAGGAGGAGGTTGTCTTCGAAGCCGAAAACGGGCGCCGGCCTCACAATGGTGGTCTCGGGGTAGATGCTGCGAGCGACTTGCTCGCCACGGGCCTTGGTGCGGAAGAACTCGGATGTTGACTCGAGGTTGGCGTTGTAACTGGAGACGTGGATAAAGCGATCGACATCGTACTTGGCAACAGCCTCAGCTATCCGCTCGGTTCCCTCGACATGGACATCCTCGAGGGAGTAGTTCCTAGGCGTTTTCTTAGCCATCGATCTTCGAATGCCCCTCGCTTCATAGACCCATAGACCTACTTGGTGGGGTAGTCACGGCCGACCAGGTTGTAGACAACATCGGAATGTCTAACGCTCTCTTCGATCGATTGAGTGTTGTAGAGGTCGTACTCCTATAGCCATTTCATTAGCCTTCCTAGACTTCAGTCCGCCGCATCGGAAGGGAGACCATACAAGGAAGACGACTCGGCCAAGGTCACCAGAGACCTTCAAGTGGCGCTTGGCCATCTCCTCGCGGAAAGGGACGATAACGGTGCATCCTTGGCGAGCTATTGGAATCGGTCAGTATTGCAGGAAAAGTTCGTCGTGTGTGTATGTTCGTACCGAGCCTGTTCACGATGTACCGTCCAACCTGTCCCGTTGCGCCGAAAACAGTCGCAGTGTGTCCTGTAACTCGACCTTAGACAAACGTCCCGTAATCAATTGTTCGATCGGTTCATACCACCAAGAGAGTGTCTGTATTCAGAATCTAGTCAGCGACGGCCTATAGAAACGCAATTGATTGGCATGCCTACCTTCCGCCCTGGGTTCGCAGGATGGGTTTGCCGGTTCGGGTGATGGAAATATCGGAGATGGGCCTGCTTCTCAAAGCATTGTGCGCGACCTTCTGGGTCGACCGCACGGCGGTTTGAAAGGAGGCCATTTTCAGATATAGAGGCTGCAACAAATATGTGCGGTGGCCCCTCAATTGACTCGCAACTGAACGCTTCTTGACCAGCCGAAAGCTCCAAAGTCGCGAGCTTCATCCAGAATCCCGGACGGAAGGTGAGCGGGTCACGTGGAAGCAGGTGCACGGCCCATTCCATGGTCATAGGATCGGAAAAACAATCATTGGTTATTCTATCCGGAAGTGGGTTCTGTCCAGAAGCATCCGAATCGGTGCTGCGCTACGTACCTCTGTACCTTAGCTGACTGACCAGGCTGCTAGCTAGCCGCGTTATGTGCATCGCCCCTCCGGAGCTGCTACTGGCAACTGCTGCTGCTTGCATTCATCAACACCATTCACACAACTACCAGACGAACTCCCCGGCATTTTCCACGACGAAAGTCCGCCCTTGAGCCTCAATCCCTCTGCCTCTGAAGCTGCAATCTGAGGAAAGAACTGTCACCTGGTCTTTCTTCAACGATTCTGTCGTCATCCTCAACCCCTCCGAAGCTCACACCCACCGACCGAGACCTCCCACCAAGATGAGCGCCGACGCAATTCCCGACTTCCTGGCGGAGCAGCGCGACGAGGCCCCCGAGGAACTTCAGCACCTCGTTTTGGAGTTCGAAAACTACTGGGAGAGGAAACTCTGGCACCAGCTCACCGATGCCCTCGGCCAGTTCTTCAGTCACCCGGGCAGCAAGCCCCAGCGACTCTCCTTCTACAAGGTCTTCATTCTCAAGTTTGCGGATAAGATCAACCAGCTTAAGCTTGTCGACTTGGCATTGAAGGCTGCCACCGAATGCTCTGGTAAGGCTTAGCCACACAGGAGTTAGGAGAGGGCATGGAACTGACGGGATCTTTATAGATGATGAGGAGCGCCTCACATTCCTCCAAGGAGTCGCGAAGAAGGTAGACAACGAGAACTCACAGGACGCTTTGGTATACGCTTCCGTCGCTGTGGCCAGAGTAAAGCTGGATCTGGAGGATATGGATGGCGCCCGCAAGGACCTCGACACAGCCGAGAGAATACTGGACAGCTTCGACTCCGTCGAGACGATTGTCCACGCAGCGTTCTATGATGCGAATGCCAACTACTACCAGGTAAGCACTTTGCCCACCTTCCCCAATCAAGTACAGAGCATTTACTGATGTGGTTCTCAAATCCAGCGCAAGATGGAATTCGCAGCCTACTACCGCAACGCCCTTCTCTACCTCGCCTGTATCGACATCAACTCCCTCACACCCCAGGAGCGACACAGGAGAGCGCTGCACCTCAGCATCGCCGCGTTAGTCTCCGACACCATCTACAACTTTGGTGAGCTCCTGTTGCACCCCGTCCTCGACGCCCTCAAAGGCACACAGGACGAGTGGTTCCGCGACCTTCTCTTCGCCTTCAACCGCGGCGACCTCCAGGGCTTCGAAGCTCTCTCGGCTCGCATGCGGGCCAAGCCGTTGCTCGCCGAGAACGCCGGCCACCTCCGTCAGAAGATCTACCTCGCGTCCCTCACCGAGGCCGTCTTCCGCCGGCCGCCCCACGACCGTGCCATGTCCTTCGCCGATATCGCTCAGGAGACTAAGGTTCGCCCCAACGAGATCGAGCACCTCATCATGAAGGCCCTCAGCCTGGGTCTGCTGCGCGGCAACATTGACCAGGTCGACGAGGTGGCGCACATCACTTGGGTCCAGCCCAAGGTGCTTGATATGAAGCAGATTGGCAACATGCGCCAGCGACTGCTCGACTGGGACTCGCAAGTCAACCAGCTTGGTAACTGGATCGAGACCGCCGGCGG